GGTGTATAAACATTTTTCACAAAAATTGCTAGTAAGTTTCACAATTGATTACAAAGAATTGGCAAATGACATTGAATTAAACATCATAGCATTTTCTTATTAAACGAACTCTAATAAACTTTAAATTCCAACTTTGAAAAATCATTTTCTACAGTATAGTGCTTCCTTCGGTGTTTCTATATTGCCAGCAGTAAAGATGGCTCATGGGGCAAAGCTGACTCAACACTAAAGCAGAAGCATTCTCATTTGGATATAACCTGAATGCAGTCCGGCCCATAAGTCACAGCGCTGGCAGGCGAGCGTTTGAGATATATTAGGCAAGTTGCAGTTGTGACGTAAGCTGCAGAGTGAGTCCAGCCACTCCTGAGACGTGCGGACGATCACAACCATCGGACGGTTACCATCTCGTTTCATTTTTTTACTTTCTAATTGCCCAAATAATTCCATTGATCATCTATTAATAGAAGGGACTTTTTAGAGCATGCGTGGCATGGATACAAATACACAGTTAATTTAAATAGTTTTAAATAATAAATGAGGAATTCATATATAATTTAATTTTATTCCTTTTTTCTTAGTAAGAAAATGTCTTGCATTGAAAGAAGAGGCACTTGAGATGTGTTGTGAACATCTTGTACTGCATTGGTCCATCTGACAGCCTCACTTTACATACTACATTTTTATCTCTCCATCCAGCTATCTGTCAATCCATCCGCTCGGTGTAGATTTATAAGCTCCCCCTCATTCTCCTCCCCTCCAGACAGCATAAATGTATTAGTCCCTCACCAACCCCCAACCGCCCGCCCCAGATGGCCGAACAGCTGCCCGTCCAATCGCATCTCTGAGCGGGAGTTGGGGGAGGGGGCTTCTAGTCCCAATCTGGATTACAGCATTTCTGGATTAAAACCCAGATGTGATTTGTGATGTAACCCGCTCTAATCATTCTCTTTGCGCTCTCTCTTTTTAGCTCCTCCTGCCTCATTCCCTTTTCCATATCTCTTTCTTATTCCATGTAGATTTCTTTTATTGAAACGTCCCACTTTTAATCTCTCTCATTCTGTCCTGTTTTATTCTCTTTCCTTTTTGCATTTCTTTACTCTTACTGCTGGCTTTCTTTTTGGAACTTTACTCTGTATTTTTCAGTGAAGTGTATACTTGTGAGAGAAATATTGACGCTTCATGCAGCCACATTCCTGTGGGTCGATTTTTGTCTTCATTTTAGATAGTCCTGCGGTGTGACAAATGAAAAGTGAAAAATATAAATATTCCATGTACTTAATATGAGATCTATTAGCAGTTAAGTAGTTGTAGTTCATGCAATCTTATTTCTCAAACAGAATTGACTCATTAGCTTTGTTTATGGATTTCTTTTTCTTTCACAGATGATGATAATGATGGGAATTATTGGGGTCATCTTGATGGGCATCGTTTTCAGTGAGTAGAAACTTGTTTTATTTTACAAACACTAATCAGTGTTGGTTGATTTACTTGTAAATCAGACTTTAAAAACAGAATGTTTTTTCGTATTTAGTTTTACTCCACCGTAGGATGTTTTGCCACCTTGCCACAATGAATTTTAGGCGTATAAAGGCTAACATGTAATGATATAGTTAAGAAAAACAAATCTTGTGTTGCAGCTGCAACTTAAATTCTAATCAAAGATCAGCTGCTCTTACAAAGATAAGCTAAGGCCTAGTTAGTATATGCATCAAATATAAAAGCTCAATTTAATCCTGAATCAGCATGGACTAATCAATTGCAATGATTTATTTCTCTTTTCTTGTCTTTTACGACAGTGTACTTCTACTACTGAGCCTCTCGTGGGACGCACAAGGACAGGAGACTCTGGCTTTGTGTGAACTCAACCCCTCCTTCTCTCCCCACCAATGCCTTTCATTGAATCCACAGTGTGTGTGTGCAGTCATTGACGCAGTGCCTCTCCCTCCCTTTGTCTGTCACTGCATTTCTTTGTACCTCTCTTGAGTGCTTTGCAACAGTGCCCGAGCTTACTCAAAAACTCCTTCGGTTAGGAATATCTACTTATGGTTTTAGATTGGAGAATGTGTTGGCCCTTTTCAGGCCAAAAAATAATAAAAAAGAATGGGTGATGCAATAATGTAGATCTGTAGCGCTGGTCCAAATGGACCCATGAATAACTAAAGCGGGAAAATGAAACGCAAACTTCAGTTAAGTTTGAGTTTAGGATCAAGTCATGCATTTATGCATAGAAGCCAAAGTGTACTAGTTTAGCCAGAAACAACAGCTGTGGTCCTATCGTTAGAGTATTAACAAAGTGCAACTGCAATGAGAAATTACATGAATATTTATTAGCATTGTTTTTACCCTCCTCCACATATAGACTCCTAGAAGCAACTTGTTTTCGCTTCTTAATATGGACCTTTATAGACCCGAATGGTTTTAGAGCGGTAAAGACTGTGTGAATTAAATGTCTTAAATTGACTATTGATTTAGGATGTTAATTCCTTCTAAAACATGGATGGCGCAATTTTTATAATTCATTTTAAGATTTAAAATGTTTAAAAAGCATACGAGAAAGATTGTAGGATGTTTTAAGCATCTGCAGTCGACTTGAGGGGAATATCTGATCACAGATCGTCACTTTTGCTGTTTGATGTTATGACTTTGACGTTAATGTCAGCCAGATCTGGAGGAAAAAACAGGGATGAAAAAATGTAACATTAATGGTGAGATGTGGTGTAAAAGAAAGATCTAACATTACAGCAGTGCTCACAATATAAAATATTTTAAAGTAGATTTTTTTTATATTTATATATTCAAGATTATTGTGACAAGTGTGGTCACAAATGCAATTTATTTAGATTTATGTATTGATAATATAAATGTGACTATTAAAAAATTGGTAAAATCAATGGTGAAATTCAGATCCTGATCATATTAACCCCTTGCACCTCCTGACTTTACTGGCAACATGATGTCTTTGGGTTGAATGAACTACTGCTGATATGCAAAATGAAAGAGAAATAATAATGTGACTAGTTTAATGTATTTGTAAATATTTGGGATTCAGTGTGGGAGCAGATACCTAATCAGCACTGGAGACGACAATGTTCAGGGATGTACCTCTGCATGTGTTTGTGTAAAATATACATGGGCACTTTAACCACCTTCATTATAGTGATTGTAGGTTTAACTGGACATTTTTGGGGTATTACGGACATATTGTCCAGCACCTAAAACTATGACAATTTGCTCTTGTTGATGTGGAATTTAATGCAAGATCATTATGTGTGAATAATATCTCCTACATTCAGCATTAACCCAAACTGCAAACCTAATGCAGGGCAGTGAATGTTATTCCCTTAAAAAAAACTGACTACATTGTGTTTTATGCAACCTATTCATTTGTAAATACGCGCTGCAGAGATGCATAAAATAACAGTTCCTGTCCCTGAGCATTTGGAGCCAAGCTGCTTACTCGTAGTTCATTTTAAAGCATGTCTGCTTGCCCACCATGTGCTGATTCTAATAAAATGCTGATGCTGTTTCTCGCTCCTCCCCTGTGTAGTTTTTTTTTTGTGTGTGAGCGGGTGGGAATACGGAAGCAAAGTGGCATGACAGGCAACATCAAAAGCACACTTTGTCAGATTAAAAAAAAAAAAATGCAAAAAATTATTGACATAGCCTATTAAAACCCTTCGAAAAATATACCCACCAATTTTCAATGAAGCCCCTTATGTCTTCATTTCTTTTTTTTGAATTTGCCCACCATCTCGTTCTCGCTTGTGTTGTTCACTTTTGAACAATCAATGGCGTCATCGTCGTCATCTTCTTCGTCTTCTGGGTCTGCATCGTTCTCGCTCGCCCTGGTGTCTTCATCATCATCATTTGGATTTTGCGATGAATCATCAGAGGTGCGGGATTGTTTGGGAGAGGGTGCGTCGGTCTCCTCTTCGTCTTCCTCCGCTGATGCAGTGGGGAGTTTTTCGAGCACGACTGCGAGTCTGACTTTGCTTGGACGTCCTCTCTTACGACGAGGAGCGGTGCCATCGGCGTTCTCACCTCCCGTCTCTCCACCTTCTGCGGCACGTGCCTTGACTTTTCCGGTACCTGGAGGTCGGCCTCTCTTGCGGGGAGTGTCTCCGACTTTCTTTTCGACAATCTTGACCTTTTTGCCAGAACCTGGAGGCCGGCCTCTCTTGCGAGGAGTTCCGTCGGTGTTTCGTTGAATGACCTTCAGTTTGGTGCCAGAGCCTGGGGGACGGCCCCTCTTGCGAGGAGATCCGTCAGCCTGCTGAATCTTCTTCACCTTGTTGGGAGAGCCTGGAGGGCGGCCTCTCCTTTTTGGGGTTCCATCTGAGGCCCTGGCGATCTTGGCAACCTTGGTAGAACCTGCAGGACGACCCCTCTTCCTCTTCAACGAGCCCGCTGGCCTCCCTCTCTTTCGTGGAGAACCGTTGGCGGCATCAAGGCTGATTTCGATGCCAGCTTGTTTGGCTCTGCCACTTTGCGAACCAGATTTGGCACCGTACTTGCGTGGTCTTCCTCTACCTCTTTTTACCTTGGGATCTTCGGCGATGGGATGAATGCGTGGTCTTCCGAGCGGCTTTGACAGTCTCCGCTTGCGCTGTAAACTCAACCTGTGAAGTCTCTCTGATTCTTCCTCCGGCGTGAGTGGGATCTTTCTCGGCCTGCCGGGCATTTTTATCTTCTTTGGTCGACCACGTTTCCTCACCTTGGTCTTTATGACTATGTCGGGAGAAAAGAAGTCCACCTTTTTAGATGGCCTGGCATTGTGTGTCGGTGCTTTCTCGGTAGTGAACTTCTTATTGAGTGACCCTCGTGGTCTGCCTCGTCCACGTTTGGGTGGATGGGTGCTGCCATTGGGCAGAGGGCTCTCGGTTCCTTCTTTATTCTCAACCTCCATCACGTTGCAGCTTCTCGCTCACAACTTCAGACGTATCAGTGCCACGCTCGTCTGTTTGGTGCTGAGAATCTGAAAACAACAAGATGAGAAGGAGAAAAAGGTTTGAGATGAAGATACAAGACATTTACACAGACATTTAGCAGACACTTTTATCCAAAGCGACTTACAAATGAGGACAATGGAAGCAATCAAAATCAACAAAAGAGCAAAGATACGCAAGTGCTATAACACGTCTCAGTTAGCTTAACGTATAACACGTAGCAAGGTTTTTTTTAATTATATAATAAATAAAAAGAAAACAGATAGAATAGGAAAAAGAATAGAGCAAGCTAATGTTTTGAGTTAAGTACTTGAATAGATACCTCAATATAGTTTTCCCTCCAAAACCAGAATTTACTATTTTCCACAAACTATTTTTGCGCAAACGTAAAACAACAACGAGCAAGCTGTTTGCATACCTTGTATTTTCATGCATACAACCTATATTTTATATTCTTAAAAAAGAAACACTAATTTTACATGGGTGGAAATGTTCAATAAAATGTAAATAAAAGTAAAATAAGTTTACGGCACAGCCAAACAAAAAATGTACAATAAAAGGAAAAAAGCAAATATGAACCGAATCGAAATCGAATCGGGACATCTGAATCGATACCCAGCCCTAACTATTAGGGTGTTGATATTAGTTTTAAAAAATAGTTTGTAAAAACAAAATCATAGTAAAAAAAATATGGAAGTAAATAAAAATTACGCAACTGAATTAAATGCTGTTTTTGGCTAAGAAAGAAAGCGCTAAATCCGTACCATAATATTTCATATTTAAACGAATATTTAAATATAAAAATGCACTCACTAAAAACCATTTTCATAAAATTGTAGGGGATATGAGGTGCAATGGTGTTTTTTATTTATTTTGTGAGCAATTTATTTTAAAACAGACCGAATCGACTGAAGCGCTGTTTGCAGACTCAAGACAATAGAAAAACCCATCTCAGTATTGACAACAGAAACGAATCGGCTAGAGAAGTTCGAACACGCTGCTAGCCTACTTCATGCATGCTTAACGGGTGCAAATGGACATCTTTATCACAGTATGAAAAAAAATTGCATCGTTTTTTACCGCGAGATCTTACATATTACAAAATATTGACGATAATATTCTACCCGTTTAATTTTTATGGAGCAATAACGCAAAATTCGTCAAAATAATTAAAAAATACGAACGATTTCATGCAGTATAAAAAGCATAAAAGAGCGGATGCTGTAGACTGGCTGCCATCATGTACAGTGAAGCCCGCGAGCTTTTGTAGTTCCAGGTAAAATGTGAGGCACTGGCGATTTTTGTTAGCTGCCTGCTAACACGACTAAGACAACTTTTCAATGGAAAAAGAGACTACTTTCATTCGTTCGATAATAAAAAGCGGCAAATATTCGAAACACAACGCACCTTACTCGCAAAGCGCTTTCACAACAGCAGAGATGATCTTTTTCATGCATTCGACAATATTTTCGATGCAAACAGCATCGGACAGTGGGCGGGCGACTGTGATTATTTGAAAGGCAATGCCAGTTCTTCCTCGTCTCTCGCTTGGCGTCGCCGGTTCGTGGCACAGCACCGCCTGCTGTGGCGGAGAGTGCGAACGCGAACGTGAAGAATGAACGTATGGGTAAAATTAAATAAAGAAATAAAGCAGTTGTGTGTGTGTGTGTGTGTGTGTAAATGTAATGTGAAAGAGTCTAATCAAATCACGTAAGCTGTATCAATGTATAGCTGAAGAACACAGGACTACAAAAATTCCAGTTATGAGTTCTTGAATAGGAATTTGCAAATTCTAAAAAGTGTAAAAATGGAAAAGTAATTAAACTTCATTTGAGCATTTTTTTATTATTATTTAAAGACCATATGGCATTACTTTAATAACACATAAAATGCCCCTATTGTCTGTCAGATAAAACTTAGATGGCCTGAGATATCACATCTGTCTCTCTGCACACAGTTCAACAAAAAAAGCATTGCCCGCCCTTTTTAGCCAATCAGAAACGCGTTCTGCTTTTCAATCATTTGCCGCGTTTCGGTTTGCTAACATCCGGTTTGCTGAGATCTTGCGGGGTGGGATTTCGGAGGACGTTGTCGTTTGGTTGAAAGAGAAAGAACAAAAAAGCTTCAACATTAGAAGGGGTAAAACAGTAATATCTGTAATATATATATATTATACATATATAATAATGATATAGTAATGTAATATATTGTATAATATTGTTTAATCCCTATATTTCAGTAACATAATATATTATTTAATCCCTGTTTTATGATTTACCACCATAAGAACTTATCTAAAAGCATAAATACAAAAAGATCACGTGTAATCGTTTTTGAGGTTATGTTCTTAGATATTAAGTCTTAGAGTAAGTCTCTGGCTCTGCAAATACATATAAAACCAAATGTACCTGAATTATTGTTTAGATTTATTATTTATATTATTCAGGTATGTTTTTCTTTTAAACTAAAAATAGGATTGCATACTGTTGCAGACAGGCTACCTAACAAAATTATATGCCTACTTAAGCATATTCTTAATTACACATTATTTATTCATTTATTTTTGATTATATATCGATCAACGGACAAGTAGCCTATAGGCCAAATATACAGAAAAAAGTATGTTTGTCCTATACTTGTTTACTTAATCTGTTGATCGAGATGTAATTAAAAAATGTGTAATTAAGAATTCTAGGTATACATCTTGTAAGTTTACATGTTCCAGTTTATTAGTTTTAAAATACATTTCTCACAATAAAAAATAAAAAAAAAGAACTCAACTAAAGATTAATAAAATTAACTTAGTAAGGAAAGCAATTTCACCCCAAACCTGACTTGTTTTCTTATAAACTTGAACTAGTTGGTCAACTTTTTAGTTTAACTTGTACTTAACTTGGAGTACATAATTATTTGACATCTTTCTTATATTGCAAATAAGTAAACGTAACATCATACTTATAGCTTGCTATATTTAGGCTATATATATGGGTTTTGCACTAAGTATGCACGGAAAAGAAATCTGGTGTATATGTTCAATAAAAATATGAGCCAGTATCCAATATATTTATATAAGTACACATACAAGAATACTACCACTGATAGTAACTTAGAAAATACACTTGAACTAAAAGTATACTTGGGGAATACTAATAAAGAATACTTACCTGAGTGTGTGAACTATGCCGTTCACTTAAATTTGATGCCAGAAAGATTAAAGCATTATTTTTAAAGGAAGGAAATATTTCTGCATAATAGGATTGAATACAAAGTGAGAGACAACTTAAATGCATTAAGTATTTTATGAAGAATAAAAAAAAAAAACTACATAGGCAATAAAAGTATAACAATTTATTCAATAAAAGACAGAGGTACATATTTGATTGCCTTTATTGTATGCTATCCATTAAAATGTATGATGATGAATGAGGAAATGCAAATTGGCTGATATTCTATCAAATAATGTGACTAAATTTGTATCCTGTTAAGACAGTAAGTCCATCCAGCACATCATAGAGTAGAAAAACACACTGGATTTTCAAGATACATGAAGTGAAAATAACTAGTCTATAGTCTCTGATGGGTGCTTAACTTCCCTATTATAGTGAGATTTTATCCAGAGCTGGGAAACGTCCTTCAAGCCCAGAATAAAGAAAAACATGAGGCTGTAGACATTAATAGTCCTCATCTCACTCAGAAACTCTTTTTTTTTTAATATGATTTCTTCAGAATTTTATATTCCCATCTTTCCAAACACAATTTGCAATTGTAGATTTTCTCTACCTTATCCATTAAAACAAGACATTGAGGCCTCCCTCTCTTTCGTGGAGGACCATTGGCGACATCACGGCTGATTTTGACGCTAGCTAGTTCGTCTCTGCCACTTTACGAACTAGATTTAGCGCCATACTTGTGCGGTCTTCCTCTTGCCCTTTTTACCTTGGGACCTTCGATGATGGGATTTATGCTTGGTTTTCCAAGGGGCTTTGACTGTCTCCGCTTGCAACCTTGGTAGAACCTGCAGGACGACCCCTCTTTTTCTTCAACGAGCCCGCTGGCCTCCCTCTCTTTCGTGGAGGGCCGCTGGCGGCATCAAGGCTGATTTCGACGCCAGCTTGTTTGGCTCTGCCACTTTGCGAACCGGATTTGGCGCCGTACTTGCGTGGTCTTCCTCTACCTCTTTTTACCTTGGGACTTTTGGCGATGGGATGAATGCGTGGTCTTCCGAGCGGCTTTGACAGTCTCCGCTTGCGCTGTAAACTCAACCTGTGAAGTCTCTCTGATTCTTCCTCAGGCGTGAGCGGGATCTTTCTTGGCCTACCAGGCAGTTTTATCTTTTTTGGTCGACCACGTTTCTTCACATTGGTCTGTGCGTCTTTGTCAGGTGAAAAGTTGTTCATCTTGTTTGATGGCCTGGCACTGTGTTTCTTGGCAGTGACCTTCTTATTGAGTGACCCTCGTGGTCTGCCTCGTCCACGTTTGGGTGGATGGGTGCTGCCGTTGGGCAGAGGGCTCTCGGTTCCTTCTTTATTCTCAACCTCCATCACGTTGTAGCTTCTCGCTCACAACTTCAGGCGTATCAGTGCCACACTCTTCTGTTTGGTGCTGAGAATCTGAAAACAACAAGATGAGAAGGAGAAAAAGGTTTGAGATGAAGATGCAAGACATTATTTGAATTAAGCACTTGAATTGACACTTCATATTGTTTTCCCTCCAAAACCAGAATTTACAATTTACCACAAAAAAAATGTTTTTGTGCAAATGTACAACAACAAGCAAAGCTAATTTTTTCCCACCATCTTGTGTACAACTTTAATTATTTTATATTCTTAAAAGAAAACTAATTTTACAAAGGTGGAAATGTTAAATAAAATGTAAATAAAACTTAAAGCTGCAGTCTGTAAGTTTTGCCTCTTTGTCACCATCTCTGTTTGAAAACCTGCAATTGCAGCCGTTTGCGGAATTATCTTCCTTGCGTGGGTTGTGCACCGGCACGGCTCCAGCGCGGATGAATCTAATGTTTTGAGGAGTATGTGTGGCACTCAGTCACCGCACCGCTGTGGATATTTAGTGTACTTCGCAATCACAGATTCTAGTCAACGTCTTGGAATATATGACCCAAATAAGAATTTTCACCGTATATTGTTATCTGAACAAGTTAGTAACAAGTCTGCCACGTTTGTTCTGACCAACTGAGGAAAAAAGCATTACAATAAATCACGCTACCAATGGTGATTTAATCTAAATTAGTTCATATCACATCAAACCGTGCAAATTATTATTATTGTTATACTTTCTCAAATTGTTTATGTTAACAACATCTCATCTCTAATTGTCATACCACTCGAATTTCATATTAAGAAATTCTTTTAACTCAAAAAGCTCCCTTTTTCAGACTGATTGTCTTTAAAATACAAATCTTTGTAATCCCAGGCTATCTGTAATCAGAAGTCCATTTAAAACTGCAATATAATTTAATTTCAGTTAACGTGTTTTATAAACACATAATCCTTTCTGGATTACAATCCACCATCACAATGATAAATTTAATTATTCCAGCTGATGTGAGAAAAGGCTATAAACGATTGACCACCTGCAGGATCCTCACATGTGATATACGGGACAACTTCTTTATGTTTACAGACGTGACGTAATGACGCAGCAGCATGCTCGAATTTCCCGCGAAAACCTACCCGTACCACTCAAATTAAAGAACATTATTATAAGCTAACAGTTGTGAAACAGGATAAAGTAAGGCGATAGTTTTGAACGCTGGCTGGTTATGTACTTGCTCAAAAATTGATTTCGGATCATTTTTAACCAAAAAAAGTTACGGACTGCAGCTTTAAATTCGAATATAATTCGAATTTTTATAATATTTAAGTACAAAATTAGAATTTAGTTTTTCAGCCATTTTGACAGCCCTACTT